CACGGTGACACGGTGACACGGTGACACGGTGACACTGAGACACGATGACACTGAGACACGGTGACACTGAGACACGGCGACACTGAGACACGGGGACACTGAGACACGGAGACACGGTGACACGGGGACACGGTGACACTGTGACACTGAGACACGGTGACACTGAGACACGGTGACACTGAGACACGGTGACACGGGGACACGGAGACAGGGAGACACGGAGACGCGGTGACACGGTGACACTGAGACACGGTGACACTGAGACACGGTGACACTAAGACACGGTGACACTGAGACACTGAGACACGGTGACACTGAGACACGGTGACACTAAGACACGGTGACACTGAGACACTGAGACACGGTGACACGGTGACACTGAGACACGGTGACACTAAGACACGGTGACACTGAGACACTGAGACACGGTGACACGGTGACACGGTGACACTGAGACACTGAGACACGGTGACACGGTGACACTGAGAGACTGAGACACGGTGACACGGTGACACTGAGACACGGGGACACGGAGACACGGAGAGACGGAGACAAGGAGACACGGAGAGACGGTGACACGGAGACACGGTGACACTGAGACACTGAGACACTGAGACACGGTGACACAGTGACACTGAGACACTGTGACACACAGTGACACGGTGACACGGAGACACGGTGACACTGAGACACGGTGACACGGAGACACTGTGTCACTGTGAAACTGTGTCACTGTGACAGTGTCACTGTGACACTGTGACACTGTGACACTGTGACACTGTTTCACTGTGACACTGTTACACTGTGTCACTGTGACACTGTGTCACTGTGACACGGTGACACGGTGACACTGAGACACTGAGACACGGTGACACTGTGACACAGTGACACGGAGACAGGGTGACACGGTGACACTGAGACACTGGGACACGGTGACACGGGGACATGGGGACACAGAGACACGGTGACACTGAGACACGGCGACACTGAGACACGGAGACACGGTGACACGGGGACACGGTGACACGGTGACACTGAGACACGGTGACACTGAGACACGGGGACACTGAGACACGGAGACACGGTGACACGGGGACACGGTGACACGGTGACACTGAGACACGGTGACACTGAGACACGGTGACACTGAGACACGGCGACACTGAGACACTGAGACACGGTGACACGGTGACACTGAGACACGGTGACACTGAGACACGGCGACACTGAGACACTGAGACACGGTGACACTGATACACGGTGACACTGAGACACTGAGACACCGTGACACCGTGACACCGAGACACTGTGACACTGTGACACTGTGTCACTGTGACACTGTGTCACTGTGTCACTGTGACAGTGTCACTTTGACACTATGACACTGTGACATTGTGTCACTGTGTCACTGTGACACTGTGACACTGTGTCACTGTGACACTGTGTCACTGTGACTCTGAGACACGGTGACGCTGAGACACTGAGACACGATGACACTGTGACACGGAAACAGGAAGACACTGAGACACGGTACACAGACACACGGTGACACGGAGACACTGAGACACTGAGACACGGAGACACTGAGACACGGTGACACGGTGACACTGTGACACTGTGACACTGAGACACGGTGACAGGTTGACACTGTGACACTGTGACACTGAGACACGGTGACACGGAGAAACTGAGACACTGAGACACGGAGACACTGAGACATGGTGACATGGTGACACGGTGGCACGGTGACACTGAGACACTGAGACACGGTGACACTGAGACACGGAGACACGGAGACACGGAGACACTGAGACACTGAGACACGGTGACACTGAGACACTGAGACACTGAGACACAGTGACACGGTGACACTGAGACACGGTTACACTGAGACACGGTGGCACGGTGACACTGAGACACTGAGACACTGAGACACGGTGACACGGAGACACTGAGACACTGAGACACGGTGACACGGAGACACGGTGACACTGAGACACGGAGACACGGTGACACTGAGACACTGAGACACGGTGACACGGAGACACTGAGACACGGGGACACGGAGACACGGTGACACTGAGACACTGAGACACTGAGACACGGTGACACTGAGACACGGAGACACGGTGACACGGTGACACTGAGACACGGTGACACGGTGACACGGTGACACTGAGACACGGGGACACGGAGACACGGTGATACTGAGACACGGTGCCACGGTGACACGGTGACACGGAGACACTGATACACTGAGACACGGTGACACTGAGACACTGAGACACGGTGACACTGTGACACAGTGACACTGAGACACGGTGACAAGGAGACACGGTGACACGGTGACACGGTGATATTGAGACACTGAGACACTGAGACACGGTGACAGGGTGACACGGGGACACGGTGACACGGGGACACAGAGACACAGTGACACGGAGACAATGAGACACGGTGACATGGATACACTGAGACACGGTGACATGGATACACTGAGACACGGTGACACGGAGACACTGAGACACGGTGACACTAAGACACTGAGACACGGTGACACTGTGACACAGTGACACTGAGACACGGGGACACGGAGACACGGTGACACTGAGACACGGTGACACGGTGACACTGAGACACGGTGACACTGAGACACTGAGACACTGAGACACGGTGACACTGAGACACTGAGACACGGTGACACTGAGACACTGAGACACGGAGACACTGAGACACTGAGACACGGTGACACGGTGACACGGTGACACTGAGACACTGAGACACGGAGACACGGTGAGACTGAGACACGGTGACACTGAGACACTGAGAGACTGAGACACGGTGACACTGAGACACGGTGACACGGTGACACTGAAACACGGTGACACTGAGACACTGAGACACTGAGACACGGAGACACTGAGACACTGAGACACGGTGACACTGAGACACTGAGACACGGAGACACTGAGACACTGAGACACGGTGACACGGTGACACGGTGACACTGAGACACTGAGACACGGAGACACGGTGAGACTGAGACACGGTGACACTGAGACACTGAGAGACTGAGACACGGTGACACTGAGACACTGAGACACGGGGACTCGGTGACACTGAGACACTGAGACACTGAGACACTGAGACACGGTGACACGGTGACACGGAGACACTGAGACACTGAGACATGGTGACACAGTGACACGGGAACACGGGGACACGGTGACACGGTGACACTGAGACACGGTGACACTGAGACACGGAGACACTGAGACACTGAGACACTGAGACACGGTGACACTGAGACACTGAGACACTGAGACACGGTGACACTGAGACACTGAGACACGGTGACACGAAGACACTGAGACACGGTGACACAGTGACACGGTGACACGGTGACATGGGGACACTGTGACACGGTGACACTGAGACACGGTGACACGGGGACACGGTGACACGGTGACATGGGGACACGGAGACACTGAGACACGGAGACACTGAGACACTGAGACACGGTGACACTGAGACACGGTGACACGGTGACACGGTGACACTGAGACACTGAGATACGGTGACACGGTGACACTGAGACACGGGGACACGGAGACACGGAGAGACGGAGACAAGGAGACACGGAGAGACGGTGACACGGAGACACGGTGACACTGAGACACTGAGACACTGAGACACGGTGACACGGTGACACTGAGACACTGAGACACGGTGACACTGTGACACGGGGACACGGTGACACGGTGACACGGTGACACTGAGACACGGTGATACTGAGACACGGTGGCACGGGGACACTGAGACACGGTGACACGGGGACACGGTGACACTGAGACACGGTGACACTGATACACGGTGACACTGAGACACGGTGACACTGAGACACAGTGTCACTGTGACACTGTGACACTGTGTCACTGTGACACTGTGACACTGTGTCACTGTGACACTGTGTCACTGTGACACGGTGACACTGTGACACTGAGACACTGAGACACGGTGACACTGTGACACAGTGACACTGAGACACGGAGACACGGAGACACTGAGACACGGAAACAGGGAGACACTGAGACACGGTGACACAGAGACACGGTGACACGGAGACACTGAGACACTGAGACACGGAGACACTGAGACACGGTGACACGGTGACACTGTGACACTGTGACACTGAGACACGGTGACACGTTGACACTGTGACACTGTGACACTGAGACACGGTGACACGGAGACACTGAGACACGGTGACATGGTGACACTGAGACACGGTGACACTGAGACACTGAGACACGGTGACACTGAGACACGGAGACACGGTGACACTGAGACACGGTGACACTGAGACACGGAGACACTGAGACACTGAGACACGGTGACACTGAGACACTGAGACACGGTGACACGGTGACACTGAGACACGGTGACACTGAGACACGGTGACACGGTGACACTGAGACACTGAGACACTGAGACACAGTGACACTGAGACACGGAGACACGGTGACACGGTGACACGGTGACACTGAGACACTGAGACACGGTGACACGGGGACATGGGGACACTGAGACACGGTGACACTGAGACACGGTGACACGGGGACACGGAGACACTGAGACACGGTGACACGGGGACACGGAGACAGGGAGACACGGAGACACGGTGACACTGAGACACGGTGACACTGAGACACTGGGACACTGAGACACGGAGACACGGTGACACGGTGACACGGTGACACGGAGACACGGTGATACTGAGACACGGTGACACGGTGACACGATGACACGGAGACACTGAGACACTGAGACACGGTGACACTGAGACACTGTGACACGGTGACACTGTGACACAGTGACACTGAGACACGGTGACATGGAGACACGGTGACACGGTGACACGGTGACACTGAGACACTGAGACACTGAGACACGGTGACACTGAGACACGGTGACACGGTGACACTGAGACACTGAGACACTGAGACACGGTGACACTGAGACACGGAGACACGGTGACACGGTGACACGGTGACACTGAGACACTGAGACACGGTGACACGGGGACATGGGGACACTGAGACACGGTGACACTGAGACACGGTGACACGGGGACACGGAGACACTGAGACACGGTGACACTGAGACACTGAGACACGGTGACACGGTGACACGGTGACACTGAGACACGGGGACACGGAGACACGGTGATACTGAGACACGGTGCCACGGTGACACGGTGACACGGAGACACTGATACACTGAGACACGGTGACACTGAGACACTGAGACACGGTGACACTGTGACACAGTGACACTGAGACACGGTGACATGGAGACACGGTGACACGGTGACACGGTGATATTGAGACACTGAGACACTGAGACACGGTGACAGGGTGACACGGGGACACGGTGACACGGGGACACAGAGACACAGTGACACGGAGACAATGAGACACGGTGACATGGATACACTGAGACACGGTGACATGGATACACTGAGACACGGTGACACGGAGACACTGAGACACGGTGACACTAAGACACTGAGACACGGTGACACTGTGACACAGTGACACTGAGACACGGGGACACGGAGACACGGTGACACTGAGACACGGTGACACGGTGACACTGAGACACGGTGACACTGAGACACTGAGACACTGAGACACGGAGACACTGAGACACTGAGACACGGTGTCACTGAGACACTGAGACACGGAGACACGGTGACACGGGGACACGGTGACACGGTGACACGGTGACACTGAGACACTGAGACACGGAGACACGGTGAGACTGAGACACGGTGACACTGAGACACTGAGAGACTGAGACACGGTGACACTGAGACACGGTGACACGGTGACACTGAAACACGGTGACACTGAGACACTGAGACACTGAGACACGGAGACACTGAGACACTGAGACACGGTGTCACTGAGACACTGAGACACGGAGACACTGAGACACTGAGACACGGTGACACGGTGACACGGTGACACTGAGACACTGAGACACGGAGACACGGTGAGACTGAGACACGGTGACACTGAGACACTGAGAGACTGAGACACGGTGACACTGAGACACTGAGACACTGAGACACGGGGACTCGGTGACACTGAGACACTGAGACACTGAGACACTGAGACACGGTGACACGGTGACACGGAGACACTGAGACACTGAGACATGGTGACACAGTGACACGGGAACACGGGGACACGGTGACACGGTGACACTGAGACACGGTGACACTGAGACACGGAGACACTGAGACACTGAGACACTGAGACACGGTGACACTGAGACACTGAGACACTGAGACACGGTGACACTGAGACACTGAGACACGGTGACACGAAGACACTGAGACACGGTGACACAGTGACACGGTGACACGGTGACATGGGGACACTGTGACACGGTGACACTGAGACACGGTGACACGGGGACACGGTGACACGGTGACATGGGGACACGGAGACACTGAGACACTGAGACACTGAGACACTGAGACACGGTGACACTGAGACACGGTGACACGGTGACACGGTGACACTGAGACACTGTGACACGGTGACACGGTGACACTGAGACACGGGGACACGGAGACACGGAGAGACGGAGACAAGGAGACACGGAGAGACGGTGACACGGAGACACGGTGACACTGAGACACTGAGACACTGAGACACGGTGACACGGTGACACTGAGACACTGAGACACGGTGACACTGTGACACAGTGACACTGAGGCACGGAGACACGGTGACACGGTGACACGGTGACACTGAGACACGGTGACACTGAGACACGGCGACACTGAGACACGGTGACACGGGGACACGGTGACACGGTGACATGGGGACACTGAGACACGGTGACACTGAGACACGGTGACACTGTGTCACTGTGTCACTGTGACACTGTGTCACTGTGACAATGTGACACTGTGACACTGTGTCACTGTGACACTGTGTCACTGTGACACTGAGACACGGTGACACTGAGACACTGAGACACGGTGACACTGTGACACAGTGACACTGAGACACGGAGACACGGAGACACTGAGACACGGAAACAGGGAGACACTGAGACACGGTGACACAGAGACACGGTGACACGGAGACACTGAGACACTGAGACACGGAGACACTGAGACACGGTGACACGGTGACACTGTGACACTGTGACACTGAGACACGGTGACACGTTGACACTGTGACACTGTGACACTGAGACACGGTGACACGGAGACACTGAGACATGGTGACATGGTGACACGGTGGCACGGTGACACTGAGACACTGAGACACGGTGACACTGAGACACGGAGACACGGTGACACTGAGACACGGTGACACTGAGACACGGAGACACTGAGACACTGAGACACGGTGACACTGAGACACTGAGACACGGTGACACGGTGACACTGAGACACGGTGACACTGAGACACGGTGACACGGTGACACTGAGACACTGAGACACTGAGACACGGTGACACTGAGACACGGAGACACGGTGACACGGTGACACGGTGACACTGAGACACTGAGACACGGTGACACGGGGACATGGGGACACTGAGACACGGTGACACTGAGACACGGTGACACGGGGACACGGTGACACTGAGACACGGTGACACGGGGACACGGAGACAGGGAGACACGGAGACGCGGTGACACGGTGACACTGAGACACGGTGACACTGAGACACTGGGACACTGAGACACGGAGACACGGTGACACGGTGACACGGTGACACGGAGACACGGTGATACTGAGACACGGTGACACGGTGACACGATGACACGGAGACACTGAGACACTGAGACACGGTGACACTGAGACACTGAGACACGGTGACACTGTGACACAGTGACACTGAGACACGGTGACACGGGGACACGGTGACACGGTGACACTGAGACACGGTGACACTGAGACACGGTGACACGGTGACACTGAGACACTGAGACACTGAGACACGGTGACACTGAGACACGGAGACACGGTGACACGGTGACACGGTGACACTGAGACACTGAGACACGGTGACACGGGGACATGGGGACACAGAGACACGGTGACACTGAGACACGGTGACACGGGGACACGGAGACACTGAGACACGGTGACACGGGGACACGGAGACAGGGAGACACGGAGACGCGGTGACACGGTGACACTGAGACACGGTGACACTGAGACACTGGGACACTGAGACACGGAGACACGGTGACACGGTGACACGGTGACACGGAGACACGGTGATACTGAGACACGGTGACACGGTGACACGATGACACGAAGACACTGAGACACTGAGACACGGTGACACTGAGACACTGAGACACGGTGACACTGTGACACAGTGACACTGAGACACGGTGACATGGAGACACGGTGACACGGTGACACGGTGACATTGCGACACTGAGACACTGAGACATGGTGACACGGGGACACGGTGACACGAGGACACGGAGACACGGAGACACGGAGACACTGAGACACGGTGACACTGAGACACTGAGACACGGTGACACTGTGACACAGTGACACTGAGACACGGGGACACGGAGACACGGTGACACTGAGACACGGTGACACGGTGACACTGAGACACGGTGACATGGTGACACTGAAACACGGTGACACTGAGACACTGAGACACGGAGACACTGAGACACTGAGACACGGTGTCACTGAGACACTGAGACACTGAGACACTGTGACACTGAGACACGGTGGCACGGTGACACGGTGACACTGAGACACTGAGAGACTGAGACACGGTGACACTGAGACACTGAGACACTGAGACACGGGGACACGGTGACACTGAAACACTGAGACACTGAGACACTGAGACACGGTGACACGGAGACACGGTGACACTGAGACACTGAGACACGGTGACACGGTGACACGGAGACACTGAGACACTGAGACACTGAGACATGGTGACACAGTGACACGGGAACACGGGGACACGGGGACACAGTGACACAGGAAACGGGCACATAAGGACAGACTGCAGCAACACTGGCTAACCTTCCCCCCTTCCTCCTCTGCTGCACCCCCCCATTCCCACCTCTCAGTGCCGTTTCTCAGGCTGAAGTGGACGCAGAAGAAGCAGTCTCTCTGGTTGGGTCCATCGCAGTACGGACACTCGGGGAAGCATTGTCCTGGGGGGCACGGCAGGGGGGGGGGGTGAGGTGCCAACAACACACGAAGCACACCGCAACCTACACCGCACCACGACACTGCGACACAACCTACACAACACCACCACACTACAGCACCACACTGCACGACCACACTGCACCACTGCTACACAACCTACACACCCGCCCCCAAAAGACAAAGATCCCCCATGTTACCTCAACAGCCTGTGGGAGCAAGTGCTGTTTGCGAGCATCTATGGAGGCCGGCACGGCACACGAGGGGGTGGGCGGCCAACACCACGCCCGACCGCCTTTGTCTCCCCAGTGACGATGTTTACACTCCGCACCAGGTACTCATTTGAGGGTGAGTCGACCTAGGGGAGGCTCGGGACCTGTTCAGATAATCGTCACCGGTGTTGGCCAGGAGCGGGAATCGAACCCGGGTGGCCCGGTTCGTAGTGCAGCGCGCTAACCGCTACACTACCACTCCCAATACACACACACACACAAACACAGACACACAGACCCCCCCCCACACACACACCCATACACACACACCCACACACAACAACAACCGCCATTCGCCACTAAGTGGCGGTGACGTCACCACGACGCTTGTGCCAGGCTATGTGCACCCTGAGGCCACGTGAAGTGTCGAACGCCCGCTGGCAGGAGGTCACGGGGCAGACCCAGGTGCCACGGGTCGACTGACTGAGATGACTGGCTGATGCACCACCTGTGCCCCCTACTGTGTTTTGTCTGGAAATACAACCCCCTACCTCCTCGCGGTGCCGGACGGGCAACTCTGTCGTGGACAGTGCTGTGGGGGGAGGTCCAATTTTGATTGGCTCCTCCCCTCATGGCGTCTGTGTCCACCACAGGGGCTAAACGGCGGCTCTGGACGGGTGCGAGGGGCTGGTAACCCCTCCACCTTCAATTAATTACCACTAAACCACGAGTTAAACTGAAATATGACACACACACACACACCCATACACACACCCACATACACACACACCCACACACACACACCCATACAGCAACAACAACCGACATTCGCCACGAAGTGGCGGTGACGTCACCACGACGCTTGTGCCAGGCTATGTGCACCCTGAGGCCACGTGAAGTGTCGAACGCCCGCTGGCAGGAGGTCACGGGGCAGACCCAGGTGCCACGGGTCGACTGACTGAGACCCATACACACACACACACACACCCATACATACACACACCCACACACCTATACATACACACACCTACACACACACACCCATGCATACACACACCCACACACACACACCCATACATACACACACCCACACACCCATACATACACACACCCACACACACACACCCATACATACACACACACACACACCCACACACACACACCCATGTATTCTTGGGGTTGCTGCAGATCGTCCTTGTCACTCCCCGGCCACCAATCGTACCACGGGGACCTTTTCCCCGACAGGGACCTCGCGTATTCCCTCTTCAGGGGAGACCTCGCCGCAGGGGGGGGCGCGTCTCCCTGGGGAGGCTCCTCCGTCCCGTACAGGATCAGGGACCACTCCTTCAGCTTCCCTGTGGAGCGGGGGAGGGGGAAATTAGCGAGCCCTCGAAGCGCTTCGGGCGTTTCACCAGGACCTGCATCTCCGCTCTATTGCCCTGGTCGAGACCTGGGTTATTCTTCTGGTACGGGAGGATGTGCAGGCTGAGTGGACTTGCCGAAGACTGGCACCAGCGGTGTCAAAATGGGCCTCTGTGGGGAATCTCGTGAAGGACGCTGCTGGGTAGTTGGAGGGCAAAGGAGTGACGCTCACAATAACAAAGCAAAACACCGAGTGGGTAAAACGCAGCGAGTTGTCACAGTGGGGAGCAACAGGTGGTGCATCTGCCGGTCGGCTCGGTCGGTCAACCAGTTACACCTGGGTCTGCCCCGTGACCTCCTGCCAGCGAGCCTCAAAGTACACCGAGCCTGGCACAAACGCGGTGGTGACATCATGGCGAATGTTGTACCCATGGCCTTGGGGTTGCGGGGCTGCGAGGGGGTGTCCAGGATTTCCAGGACCCAGACCCCCCCTGGGGCCTCCCCCCAGCAGTGCGAGGTCATGAACTCCCAGTCCTTGAACCCCTCCTGGGAGTGGTCGTACATCCTGCTCGCACGCACGGGCCAGAGCGCACACGTCTCTGTCTCTCTTCTGCCGCTACTACCGCGGTCACTCTTTCGGTAAACTTCACTCGTCGATTCCTCCAGCCGTGTTGATGACTCGGGAGCGAGATGCTAACTTCGTCACCTGGTATACAAGAGGTCGTGGGTTTGATCTCGAAGCTGACGCCTCTATATTTGGAGTTTGCGTGTTCTCCCCGTGGCCGCGTGGATTTTTACGGTCCTCTGGTTTTTCCCTGTTTAGAGTATTTGACTGCTATACATTTTCACGTGATAAGCCGCTTCGCTGAGCTATAATTTGTGGCCAGATCGCTTCTGAAAAAGAGCTATATAGTTTAGTGGGCCTTATATGTGGTAAAATAAAACTAGTTTAGAGTTGTTTTACAACAACACACTCACCCACCCACTCACTCACCCACCCTCCCACTCACCACACTGCAGGTCACTTCACCTCTCTCTGCTTCTTCTCTCGCACTGCTCCACTGTGGGATTCCCTCCTCCCACCATCGTCTCTCTCTCTCCACCAAGCTCTCATCGTCATAACCTCGCTCGATTAACAAAAAAAAACATGTTTCACTGGTATCTGTTACAACTTCAATAGTAGTGCTGTTTGTTGCTGGCCATTCAACGTTTGGGCCTTGGGGCCCCGGTTCTCAGCGACCGTGTTAACAAACAAAAACACCTATGCGCCTGCCCACCTCCATCGCCTACCCACCTGCTCACCTCACCTGCCCATTCATTTCCTCGCCCGTCCATCATCACCTTGCCGCTCCACCTGCTCACCTCCCACCTACCCACCCGTCCACCTCCTCACCCTCCTCACCGGTTGGCGAGCAGCTGTGAGCGCGTGCCGGCCGGCGAGGTGAGGAAGATGGCGAGGTCCCCGCGACGCACGTGGGTGAGCGTCACGCGCACCACCACGTGCTCCAGGTGAGCGACGCGGCTCGCCGGGTCGTCGCGGCAACCGCTCACCTTGGCGATCGCCACCAGCTTCTTCTCCGGCCGAATCCACCTGTCCACAGGATCAACGTAAACTTGACTATCTCGCGGCACGGTCACGGTAGCGCTAGCGGCACAATCAACGTAATCTTGAGTCTCCCGCGGCACGCTCACGGCAGCGCTAGCGGCACAATCAACGTAATCTTGAGTCTCCCGCGGCACGGTCACGGCAGCGCTAGCGGCACAATCAACGTAAACTTGAGTCTCCCGCGGCACGGTCGCGGTAGCGCTAGCGGCACAATCAACGTAATCTTGAGTCTCCCGCGGCACGCTCACGGCAGCGCTAGCGGCACAATCAACGTAATCTTGAGTCTCTCGCGGCACGGTCACGGTAGCGCTAGCGGCACAATCAACGTAAACTTGAGTCCCTCGCGGCACGCTCACGGCAGCGCTAGCGGCACAATCAACGTAAACTTGAGTCTCGCACGGTCACGGTAACGCTAGCGGCACAATCAACGTAAACTTGAGTCTCGCACGGTCACGGCAGCGCTAGCGGCACAATCAACGTAAACTTGAGTCTCCCGCGGCACGGTCACGGCAGCGCTAGCGGCAGGCTGGTGCACTCACGTGTGAGTGCGGTCCGTGTGGCCCCGGCACGTGCGTTGCTCAGGCACGCGGCGCCACGACGCCGCGGCCACCACCATCGCCTCCGCGTTCATTAACCCGAACCCGTACAGGTGGCTCACTGCACGGGGCGGGGGGGCACGGGGGGAGCGGGGAACACAGGGGGCGGGGGGGGGGGGGCGATGTTATTGCGTGGTATGAGTGCTGTGGTGTGTATGGTAAGTATGTTGAACTTCTTTTGCACCGTACGTAGCCAACCGTGCTAATCGGAGGTGCGGGGGAAGGACAACAAACTAAACACAAAAAGCAGCTCTAAAGAAATTAGTTTTCATTCTAGACGATTTAAAAGTGCACAGCTCCAGTGGCTCCCTAATATCGGAAGAGCGTTCCAGACGGCCCCAGAAGTGCATCTTAAAGCGCGCGATGCGGTGACCGTCCTTGTTCGATGGCTGAGCCAAAAGCCGCTGCGAGAATGACCACCGGAGTTTTAGTGATGATGGTTTCTGCTCCTTGACGAGGTCAGCGAGATATTGTGGTTCATTTGTGGAAAGCGCTTTGTGTGGAAAGAGTGCAATGGTGAGTGGGATTTGTGTATGGTGCGGTGTATGTATGGTGTATTATGGTGAGTGCGGTGCGGTGAGTGCGGTGTGGTGAGTGTCGTGCGGTGAGTGTGGTGAGTGCGGTGTGGCAAGTGTGGTGTGGTGAGTGTGGTGAGTGTGGTGAGTGTGGTGTGGTGAGTGTGGTGAGTGTGGTGAGTGTGGTGTGGTGAGTGTGGTGAGTGTGGTGAGTGTGGTGTGGTGAGTGTGGTGAGTGTGGTGAGTGTGGTGTGGTGAGTGTGGTGAGTGTGGTGAGTGTGGTGTGGTGAGTGTGGTGAGTGTGGTGTGGTGAGTGTGGTGTGGTGAGTGTGGTGAGTGTGGTGAGTGTGGTGTGGTGAGTGTGGTGAGTGTGGTGAGTGTGGTGTGGCGAGCGTGGTGAGTGTGGTGAGTGTGGTGTGGTGAGTGTGATGAGTGCGGTGAGTGTGGTGAGTGTGGTGAGTGTGGTGCGGTGAGTGTGGTGAGTGTGGTGAGTGTGGTGCGGTGAGGGTGGGGAGGGCGGTGAGTGTGGTGAGTGTGGTGAGTATGGTGCGGTGAGTGCGGTGAGTGTGGTGCGGTGAGTGTGGTGAGTGTGGTGCGGTGAGTGCGGTGAGTGTGGTGTGGTGAGTGTGGTGTGGTGAGTGTGGTGTGGTGAGTGTGGTGAGTGTGGTGCGGTGAGTGTGGTGCGGTGAGTGTGGTGAGTGTGGTGTGGTGAGTGTGGTGAGTGTGGTGAGTGTGGTGAGTGTGGTGTGGTGAGTGTAGTGAGTGTGGTGAGTGTGGTGAGTGTGGTGAGTGTGGTGTGGTGAGTGTGGTGAGTGTGGTGAGTGTGGTGTGGTGAGTGTGGTGAGTGTGGTGTGGTGAGTGTGGTGAGTGTGGTGTGGTGAGTGTGGTGAGTGTGGTGAGTGTGGTGAGTGTGGTGTGGTGAGTGTGGTGAGTGTAGTGAGTGTGATGTGGTGAGTGTGGTGAGTGTGGTGAGTGTAGTGTGGTGAGTGTGGTGAGTGTGGTGAGTGTGGTGTGGTGAGTGTGGTGAGTGTGGTGTGGTGAGTGTGGTGAGTGTGGTGAGTGTGGTGTGGTGAGTGTGGTGAGTGTGGTGTGGTGAGTGTGGTGAGTGTGGTGAGTGTGGTGTGGTGAGTGTGGTGAGTGTGGTGAGTGTGGTGTGGTGAGTGTGGTGAGTGTGGTGTGGTGAGTGTGGTGAGTGTGGTGTGGTGAGTGTGGTGAGTGTGGTGAGTGTGGTGTGGTGAGTGTGGTGAGTGTGGTGAGTGTGGTCTCACCACGCCGCCCGGCCCCGTTGGTCGTCCAGTCTGGAGCCACAAGGTGTGCAGGCCGGGAGGTCCTCACCACCAGGTGCTGCACGTCCCTCCAGGTGAGCCGCGGGCTGTGGGACACTCACCACAGTCACCGCCACGCTCGCCATCATAGGTCTTACTGCATGCAGTGGGTAATGTGTGTGTGGAGGTTGGACAGTGGTATACGTAGTGAGCGTGCGGTAGTAAGTGTGATATACGTGGTGAGTGTGAGTGTGGTGGTGAGTGCGGCACACGTGGTGAGTGCAGTGGTAAGTGTGGTGGTGAGTGCGGTAGGCGTGGTGAGTGTGGTGATGAGTGCGGTACATGTGGTGAGTGCGGTGATGAGTGTGGTGGTGAGTGTGGTGGTGAATGCGGTGGTGAGTGTGGTGGTGAGTGCGGTAGGCGTGATGAGTGTGGTAGTGAGTGCGGTGGTGAGTGCGGTACACGTGGTGAGTGTGGCGGTGAGTGTGGTGGTGGGTGTGGTGGTGAGTGTGGTGGTGGTGAGTGTGGTGGTCGTGAGTATGGCGGTGGTGAGTGTGGTGGTGAGTGCGGCGGTGAGTACGGTGGTGAGTGTGGTGGTGAGTGTGGTACACGTGGTGAGTGTGGCGGTGAGTGTGGTGGTGGTGAGTGTGGTGGTGAGTGTGGTGGTGAGTGTGGTGGTGGTGAGTGTGGTGCTGAGTGTGGTGGTGGTGGTGAGTACGGTGGTGAGTGCGGCGGTGAGTGTGGTGGTGGTGGTGAGTGTGTTGGTGAGTGTGGTGGTGAGTGTGGTGAGTGTGGTGGTGGTGGTGAGTGTGGTGGTAAGTGTGGTGGTGGTGAGTGTGGTGGTGGTGAGTGTGGTGGTGGTGAGTGTGGTGGTGAGTGTGGTGGTGGTGAGTGTGGTGGTGAGTGTGGTACACGTGGTGAGTGTGGTGGTGAGTGTGGTACACGTGGTGAGTGTGGTAGTGGTGAGTGTGGTGGTGAGTGTGTTGGTGAGTGTGGTACACGTGGTGAGTGTGGTGGTGAGTGTAGTGGTGAGTGTGGTGGTGGTGAGTGTGGTGGTGGTGAGTGTGGTACACGTGGTGAGTGTGATGGTGGGTGTGGTACACGTGGTGAGTGTGGTACACGTGGTGAGTGTGGTGGTGGTGGTGGTGAGTGTGGTGGTGAGTGTGGTGGTGGTGAGTGTGGTGGTGGTGAGTGTGGTGGTGAGTGTGGTGGTGAGTGTGGTACACGTGGTGAGTGTGGTGGTGAGTGTGGTACACGTGGTGGTGGTGGTGTTGGTGGTGGTGAGTGTGGTACACGTGGTGAGTGTGGTGGTGGTGAGTGTCGTACACGTGGTGAGTGTGGTGGTGGTGAGTGTGGTGGTGAGTGTGGTGGTAAGTGTGGTACACGTGGTGAGTGTGGTACACGTGGTGAGTGTGGTGGTGGTGAGTGTGGTGGTGAGTGTGGTACACGTGGTGAGTGTGGTACACGTGGTGGTGGTGTTGGTGAGTGTGGTACACGTGGTGAGTGTGGTGGTGGTGAGTGTGGTGGTGAGTGTGGTGGTGAGTGTGGTACACGTGGTGAGTGTGGTACACGTGGTGGTGGTGGTGTTGGTGAGTGTGGTACATGTGGTGAGTGTGGTGGTGGTGAGTGTGGTACACGTGGTGAGTGTGGTGGTGTTGGTGGTGAGTGTGGTGGTGAGTGTGGTGGTGAGTGTGATGGTGAGTGTGGTACACGTGGTGAGTGTGTTGTTGTTGGTGGTGAGTGTGGTGAGTGTGGTGGTGTTGGTGGTGGGTGTGGTGGTGAGTGTGGTACACGTGGTGAGTGTGGTGGTGAGTGTGGTGGTGAGTGTGGTGGTGGTGAGTGTGGTGGTGAGTGTGGTGGTGAGTGTGTTGGTGAGTGTGGTGGTGAGTGTGGTACACGTGGTGAGTGTGGTGGTGAGTGTGGTGGTGAGTGTGTTGGTGAGTGTGTTGGTGAGTGTGGTGGTGAGTGTGGTACACGTGGTGAGTGTGTTGGTGAGTGTGTTGGTGAGTGTGGTGGTGAGTGTGGTGGTGAGTGTGGTGGTACACGTGATGAGTGTTGTTGGTGGTGGTGAGTGTGAGTGTGGTACACGTGTTGGTGAGTGTGGTACACGTGGTGAGTGTGGTGGTGGTGAGTGTGAGTGTGGTACACGTGATGTTGGTGAGTGTGGTACACGTGTTGGTGAGTGGTGTTGTTGGTGTTGGTGAGTGTGTTGGTGAGTGGTGTTGTTGGTGTTGGTGAGCGCCGCTCACTTGGCCTCCAGGGCGAGGGCGATGATGGCCGCTGCCATGGGAGCGGAGGCCGAGGTCCCCGTGTGGTTCTCTGTGCAGCGCTGCCTCAAGTCCGTGGTGATCTGGGGGGGGGGGGGGCGGGGAGGGGGGCTGCTAGTGCCGGCTGGACATCGTGGATGGGGCGGGGTGCTGACGGTGTCAGCTGTGTGGCCTTGGGAGTTCAGGAGCGTCCGTAAGGGGGGGGAGCGGTGGTGCAGCGGTTAGCGCTGCGCTACGAACCCGGCGAACCAAGTTCGATTCTCACTCACGGCCAGCACCGGCGACGATTATCTGAGCCGGTCCTGGGCATCCCCTCGGTCGACTCAGCCTCAAATGAGCACATGCTGGGGCGTGTAGTAAACATCGCCACCGGGGAGACAAAGGCGGTCGGGCGTGGTGCTGGGCACTCAGCCCCCTCGTACGCCGTGCCTTCGCAGGTGCTCCTCGCTAGCAGCACTTGCCCCGGCAGTCTGTTAAGGCTGTACGGGGGACCTTTGTCTTTGGGGGGTCGTATTGGGGGGGGGGGGGGGGGAGGGGGGGTCTCACGATCTTGCGGTCGGTGGCCTCCCCGCTGCTGTAGGTGGAGGCGAGCGTGGAGGCGCAGGCCTCGAGGTACCAGGGCGCGGCACCGCTCTCCGCTGTGCTGGACACGGACACCGTGGCCACGCTGTTGGTGTAGCCGTCGCACGAGCAGTGGTCGCGTCGACGGCCCCCGTTCCCAGAGGCCCACACGAAGATCGAGCCCAGACCCCCGCGGCCCTGCGGGGTGGGGGAGGGATGGGGGGGGGGGGGTGTTGAGCAGCCATCATCACCCCCCACCATCAACCCCCACCATCAACCCCCACCATCACCCCCACCATCAACCCCACCATCAACCCCCACCATCAACTCTCACCATCACCCCCACCGTCAACCCCCACCATCAACCCCCACCATCACCCCCCACCATCACCCCCACCATCAACCCCCACCATCAACCCCCACCATCAACCCCCACCCATCAACCCCTACCATCAACCCCCACCATCACCCCCACCATCAACCCCCACCATCAACCCCCACCATCAACCCCCACCATCAACCCCCACCCATCAACCCCCACCATCACCCCCCACCATCACCCTCCACCATCACCCCCCACCCATCAACCCCCACCATCAACCCCTACCATCAACCCCCACCATCAACCCCCACCATCAACCCCTACCCATCAACCCCCACCATCAACCCTACCATCACCCTCCACCCGTCAACCCCTACCATAAACCCCTACCATCAACCCCCACCATCAACCCCCATCATCAACCCCCACCATCAACCCCTACCATCAACCCCCACCATCACCCCCCACCATCAACCCCTACCATCAACCCCCACCATCAACCCCCACCATCAACCCCCACCATCAACCCCCACCATCAACCCCTACCATCAACCCCCACCATCAACCCCTACCATCAACCCCCACCATCAACCCCTACCATCAACCCCCACCATCAACCCCCACCATCAACCCCTATCATCAACCCCCACCATCACCCCCCACCATCACCCCCCACCCATCAACCCCCACCCATCAACCCCCACCATCAACCCCCACCATCAACCCCCACCATCAACCCCCACCATCACCCCCCACCATCAACCATGGGGCGATCGTCCGTGATGTCATCCCAACCTGGTGGGACACCTCCACCACGTGGAGTGAGTGAGTCACCCCCGGGGTGAGTGAGTGAGTGAGTCACCCCCGGGGTGAGTGAGTGAGTCACCCCCGGGGTGAATGAGTGAGTCACCCCCGGGGTGAATGAGTGAGTCACCCCCGGGGAGAGTGAGTCACCCCCGGGGTGAGTGGGCGAGTCACCCCCGGGGTGAGTGAGTGAGTCGCCCATTCCGATGAAACAAGTCCGCGATTAATTGAACTCCGGACCCGAGTGAGGGGGAGGCGTGGGGGGGTGGAATGGGCCGCCCCCCCCTCCCCCACGCCCCCTCCCCCACGCCCCCCCCCCTCCCCCACGCCCCCCCCCCTCCCCCACGCCCCCCCCCCCTCCCCCACGCCCCCCACTCCCCCCTTCTCTCTGTGGAATGAGATCTGCATCCCTTCCCCCCACTACCAAGATCGTCCTTGAGCACAAATTATATAATTACAACAAATCTACCAGAAGGCGTCCGTTCCTATAAACATCTATAAACATCTGGCAGTTCACCAGCGTTGGTCCAAGCCACCGTCGCTCTGCTGATGACACGATGAATGTCGAAAGCCGACCCCAGAGTTTCCCTTGTGTTGAACCGACACTGCTGCGTTGATTGCACTCCCGGAAGAGAGAAATACTCGGAGTTCTCGTCGTCTGTGTGTCTGTGTGTGTGTCTGTGTGTTTGTGTATCTGTGTGTGTGTGTCTGTGTGTGTCTGTGTGTGTGTCTGTGTGTGTCTGTGTGTGTGTCTGTGTGTGTCTGTGTGTGTGTCTGTGTGTGTCTGCGTGTGTGTCTGTGTGTGTCTGTGTGTCTGTGTGTGTGTCTGCGTGTCTGCGTGTGTCTGCGTGTGTGTCTGCGTGTCTGTGTGTTTGTGTGTCTGTGTTTGTGTGTCTGTGTGTCTGTGTGTTTGTGTGTCTGTGTGTTTGTGTGTCTGTGTGTCTGTGTGTTTGTGTGTTTGTGTGTCTGTGTGTCTGTGTGTGTGTTTGTGTGTCTGTGTGTTTGTGTGTCTGTGTGTCTGTGTGTTTGTGTAGCTGTGTGTATGTGTGTCTGTGTGTTTGTGTGTTTGTGTGTCTGTGTGTTTGTGTGTCTGTGTGTCTGTGTGTTTGTGTGTTTGTGTGTCTGTGTGTCTGTGTGTGTGTTTGTGTGTCTGTGTGTTTGTGTGTCTGTGTGTCTGTGTGTTTGTGTAGCTGTGTGTATGTGTGTCTGTGTGTTTGTGTGTTTGTGTGTCTGTGTGTTTGTGTGTCTGTGTGTCTGTGTGTTTGTGTAGCTGTGTGTTTGTGTGTCTGTGTGTCTGTGTGTTTGTGTGTCTGTGTGTTTGTGTGTTTGTGTAGCTGTGTGTATGTGTGTCTGTGTGTTTGTGTGTTTGTGTGTCTGTGTGTTTGTGTGTCTGTGTGTCTGTGTGTTTGTTTAGCTGTGTGTTTGTGTGTCTGTGTGTTTGTGTGTCTGTGTTTGTGTGTCTGTGTGTCTGTGTGTTTGTGTGTTTGTGTGTCTGTGTGTTTGGGTGTCTGTGTGTCTGTGTGTTTGTGTGTTTGTGTGTCTGTGTGTCTGTGTGTTTGTGTGTCTGTGTGTCTGTGTGTGTGTTTGTGTGTCTGTGTGTTTGTGTGTCTGTGTGTCTGTGTGTCTGTGTGTTTGTGTAGCTGTGTGTATGTGTGTCTGTGTGTTTGTGTGTTTGTGTGTCTGTGTGTTTGTGTGTCTGTGTGTCTGTGTGTTTGTGTAGCTGTGTGTTTGTGTGTCTGTGTGTCTGTGTGTTTGTGTGTCTGTGTGTCTGTGTGTTTGTGTGTTTGTGTGTCTGTGTGTTTGTGTGTTTGTGTGTCTGTGTGTTTGTGTGTTTGTGTGTCTGTGTGTTTGTGTGTCTGTGTGTCTGTGTGTTTGTGTGTCTGTGTGTTTGTGTGTCTGTGTGTTTGTGTGTTTGTGTGTCTGTGTGTTTGTGTGTTTGTGTGTCTGTGTGTCTGTGTGTTTGTGTGTTTGTGTGTCTGTGTGTTTGTGTGTTTGTGTGTCTGTGTGTTTGTGTGTTTGTGTGTCTGTGTGTTTGTGTGTCTGTGTGTCTGTGTGTTTGTGTGTCTGTGTGTTTGTGTGTCTGTGTGTTTGTGTGTTTGTGTGTCTGTGTGTTTGTGTGTTTGTGTGTCTGTGTGTTTGTGTGTCTGTGTGTCTGTGTGTTTGTGTGTTTGTGTGTCTGTGTGTTTGTGTGTTTGTGTGTCTGTGTGTTTGTGTGTCTGTGTGTTTGTGTGTCTGTGTGTCTGTGTGTTTGTGTGTCTGTGTGTCTGTGTGTTTGTGTGTCTGTGTGTTTGTGTGTCTGTGTGTCTATGTGTTTGTGTGTCTGTGTGTTTGTGTGTTTGTGTGTCTGTGTGTCTGTGTGTTTGTGTGTCTGTGTGTTTGTGTTCTCCACCATTACGCGGGCAAGCATCCTGAACTCGGGGGATCGACTCAGATGGGAGTCACGACTGGGGGCACCCTGTAGCTCCCCCACCCCCTGCACCCCCACCCCTTGCTCCCCCACCCCCTGCACCCCCACCCCCTGCACCCCCACCTCCTGCACCCCCACCCCTTGCTCCCCCACCCCTTGCTCCCCCACCCCCTGCCCCCAACCCCCTGCCCCCCCACCCCCTGCCTCCCCACCCCCTGTTCCTCCAACCCCCACCCCCTGCTCCCCCACCGCTATCCCCTCTCGGGGTTAATCAAACGCCCTCGAGGCCGGAGTCTCGCCCCCCCCCCAACCTCTTCCTGCTGCCCTTTTGCCCCAAGTGGACTTTGTATTGCCACGAAGCCGCGTCATAAACAAGTGGGGCAGGGGGTGGCGGAGCCCATGAGAGGTGACGCGCATCTCAGATAAACAACCATCAGGAGCGTCGCTATGGGAGAATATGGACAGCAACCGGGTTGGACATTCAGGGTTCTCATCCGCAGCCAGGCTTGACGTGAACCAATTGCTGGTGAACTGCCAAATGTTACGAGCAAGGGGCTCTCTCTGTGAGATACGCGTCCCTCCGCGCGAGGCAAATCTCATTGGCCGTGTGGTTGATGGGATGTGTAAAAACATATTTTTGTTAAACCCCACGCGTTTATGTTTAACGTGGAGATACCAAAGTGGGAAGGGTGGGCGGATTGTAGATTGCTCCTTCTTGGGATCTTTAAAGTCCACTGTGGGTGTAAAAGCGGACGGCAAACTGTGGAGTGCTGTGGTTACTTCGGTATTAACTATTGACTATATTTCACTATTGTTATTTCACGACGAGGGTGCTGAAGTTCTATTTCAGAAGCGACCTGGCGGTCACAAATGATAGCTCTCCGAGGTGGCTCAACATCACGTGGACATTCACAGCAGCATCCAAATACCCTCAACGCATTCACCAGGGCGAGCCCGCCTGATCCGAACCGCGGACTCCCCCCACCCCCCCCTCCCCCCGTGGTACCTCTCGCACGCCGCGCAGCAGCGCCGTGCTGGCGAGCAGGCCGGGCCCGTCCACAGTGGCGCCGTCGTCGTCTGGGCCCCACGAGGCGCTGAACACGGCCACGTGCTGGGGGCCCACGCTCAGCGCGGCCCCCTCCACCGCGTCCGTCACCTCCCCGTCCAGCATGCGTACGCCTGGGGGTGGGGGGGGGGCACGGCAGATCGTGCAGTCGGGTGGCACCGGGGCGGTGGGGAGGGGGCATGTCGGAGTGTGGGATACGGGGGGGGGCATGGGGGGGGGTTAATGAGAAGACGTCAGCGTGAGAGTGATGACGTCGACGATGGTGATGTTGATGGTGATGGTAGTGATGGTGATGGTTTTGGTGATGATGGTGATGTTGGTGGTGATGGTAGTGCTGTTAATGTTGATGGTGATGTTGATGATGTTGTTGGTTATGGTAGTGATGTTAATGTTGATGGTGATGTTGATGACGATGCTTTTGGTGATGGTAGTGATGTTAATGTTGATGGTGATGTTGATGATGAAGCTATTGGTGATGGTAGTGATCGTGTTAATGTTGATGGTGATGATGAAGCTGTTGGTGATGGTATTGATCGTGTTAATGTTGATGGTGATGTTGATGATGAAGCTATTGGTGTTGGTAGTGATTGTGTTAATGTTGATGGTGATGTTGAAGCTGTTGGTGATGGTATTGATCGTGTTAATGTTGATGGTGATGTTGAAGCTGTTGGTGATGGTATTGATCGTGTTAATGTTGATGGTGATGTTGAAGCTGTTGGTGATGGTATTGATCGTGTTAATGTTGATGTTGAAGCTGTTGGTGTTGGTAGTGATTGTGTTAATGTTGATGGTGATGTTGAAGCTGTTGGTGATGGTATTGATCGCGTTAATGTTGATGGTGATGATGAAGCTGTTGGTGATGGTATTGATTGCGTTAATATTGATGGTGATGTTGAAGCTGTTGGTGATGGTATTGATCGCGTTAATGTTGATGGTGATGTTGAAGCTGTTGGTGATGGTATTGATCGCGTTAATGTTAATGTTGATGGTGATGTTGAAGCTGTTGGTGATGGTATTGATCGCGTTAATGTTAATGTTGATGGTGATGTTGAAGCTGTTGGTGATGGTATTGATCGCGTTAATGTTAATGTTGATGGTGATGTTGAAGCTGTTGGTGATGGTATTGATCGTGTTAATGTTGATGTTGAAGCTGTTGGTGTTGGTAGTGATTGTGTTAATGTTGATGGTGATGTTGAAGCTGTTGGTGATGGTATTGATCGCGTTAATGTCGATGATGGTGGTAGTGGTGATGTTGTTGGTGATGGTATTGATCGTGTTAATGTCGATGATGGTGGTAGTGGTGATGTTGTTGGTGATGGTATTGGTCGTGTTAATGTCGATGATGGTGGTAGTGGTGATGTTGCTGGTGATGGTAGTGATCGTGTTAATGTCGATGATGGTGGTAGTGGTGATGTTGTTGGTGATGGTATTGATCGTGTTAATGTCGATGATGGTGGTAGTGGTGATGTTGTTGGTGATGGTATTGATCGTGTTAATGTCGATGATGATGGTGGTAGTGGTGATGTTGTTGGTGATGGTAGTGATCGTGTTAATGTCGATGATGGTGGTAGTGGTGATGTTGTTGGTGATGGTATTGATCGTGTTAATGTCGATGATGGTGGTAGTGGTGATGTTGTTGGTGATGGTATTGATCGTGTTAATGTCGATGATGGTGGTAGTGGTGATGTTGTTGGTGATGGTATTGATCGTGTTAATGGCGATGATGGTGGTAGTGGTGATGTTGTTGGTGATGGTATTGATCGTGTTAATGTCGATGATGGTGGTAGTGGTGATGTTGTTGGTGATGGTATTGATCGTGTTAATGTCGATGATGGTGGTAGTGGTGATGTTGAAGCTGTTGGTGATGGTATTGATCGTGTTAATGTCGATGATGGTGGTAGTGGTGATGTTGTTGGTGATGGTATTGGTCGTGTTAATGTCGATGATGGTGGTAGTGGTGATGTTGCTGGTGGTGGTATTGATCGTGTTAATGTCGATGATGGTGGTGATGTTGAAGCTGTTGGTGATGGTATTGATCGTGTTAATGTCGATGATGGTGGTAGTGGTGATGTTATTGGTGATGGTATTGATCGTGTTAATGTCGATGATGGTGGTAGTGGTGATGTTGCTGGTGATGGTATTGATCGTGTTAATGTCGATGATGGTGGTAGTGGTGATGTTGTTGGTGATGGTATTGATCGTGTTAATGTCGATGATGGTGGTAGTGGTGATGTTGCTGGTGATGGTATTGATCGTGTTAATGTCGATGATGGTGGTAGTGGTGATGTTGTTGGTGATGGTATTGGTCGTGTTAATGTCGATGATGGTGGTAGTGGTGATGTTGTTGGTGATGGTATTGATCGTGTTAATGTCGATGATGGTGGTGTGGTGATGTTGTTGGTGATGGTATTGATCGTGTTAATGTCGATGATGGTGGTAGTGGTGATGTTGTTGGTGATGGTATTGATCGTGTTAATGTCGATGATGGTGGTAGTGGTGATGTTGTTGGTGATGGTATTGATCGCGTTAATGTCGATGATGGTGGTAGTGGTGATGTTGATGGTGATGGTATTGATCGTGTTAATGTCGATGATGGTGGTAGTGGTGATGTTGTTGGTGATGGTATTGATTGTGTTAATGTCGATGATGGTGGTAGTGGTGATGTTGAAGCTGTTGGTGATGGTATTGATCGTGTTAATGTCGATGATGGTGGTAGTGGTGATGTTGTTGGTGATGGTATTGGTCGTGTTAATGTCGATGATGGTGGTAGTGGTGATGTTGCTGGTGGTGGTATTGATCGTGTTAATGTCGATGATGGTGGTGATGTTGAAGCTGTTGGTGATGGTATTGATCGTGTTAATGTCGATGATGGTGGTAGTGGTGATGTTGTTGGTGATGGTATTGATCGTGTTAATGTCGATGATGGTGGTAGTGGTGATGTTGCTGGTGATGGTATTGATCGTGTTAATGTCGATGATGGTGGTAGTGGTGATGTTGTTGGTGATGGTATTGATCATGTTAATGTCGATGATGGTGGTAGTGGTGATGTTGCTGGTGATGGTATTGATCGTGTTAATGTCGATGATGGTGGTAGTGGTGATGTTGTTGGTGATGGTATTGGTCGTGTTAATGTCGATGATGGTGGTAGTGGTGATGTTGTTGGTGATGGTATTGATCGTGTTAATGTCGATGATGGTGGTGTGGTGATGTTGTTGGTGATGGTATTGATCGTGTTAATGTCGATGATGGTGGTAGTGGTGATGTTGTTGGTGATGGTATTGATCGTGTTAATGTCGATGATGGTGGTAGTGGTGATGTTGTTGGTGATGGTATTGATCGCGTTAATGTCGATGATGGTGGTAGTGGTGATGTTGTTGGTGATGGTATTGATCGTGTTAATGTCGATGATGGTGGTAGTGGTGATGTTGTTGGTGATGGTATTGATCGTGTTAATGTCGATGATGGTGGTAGTGGTGATGTTGTTGGTGATGGTATTGATCGTGTTAATGTCGATGATGGTGGTAGTGGTGATGTTGTTGGTGATGGTATTGATCGTGTTAATGTCGATGATGGTGGTAGTGGTGATGTTGTTGGTGATGGTATTGATCGTGTTAATGTCGATGATGGTGGTAGTGGTGATGTTGTTGGTGATGGTATTGATCGCGTTAATGTCGATGATGGTGATGTTGAAGCTGTTGGTGAGGGTATTGATCGTGTTAATGTCGATGATGGTGGTAGTGGTGATGATGTTGGTGATGGTAGTGATCGTGTTAATGTCGATGATGGTGGTAGTGGTGATGTTGCTGGTGATGGTATTGATCGTGTTAATGTTGATGATGGTGGTAGTGGTGATGTTGTTGGTGATGGTATTGATCGTGTTAATGTCGATGATGGTGGTAGTGGTGATGTTGTTGGTGATGGTATTGATCGTGTTAATGTCGATGATGGTGGTAGTGGTGATGTTGTTGGTGATGGTATTGATCGTGTTAATGTCGATGATGGTGGTAGTGGTGATGTTGCTGGTGATGGTAGTGATCGTGTTAATGGCGATGATGGTGGTAGTGGTGATGTTGTTGGTGATGGTATTGATCGTGTTAATGTCGATGATGGTGGTAGTGGTGATGTTGTTGGTGATGGTATTGATCGTGTTAATGTCGATGATGGTGGTAGTGGTGATGTTGCTGGTGATGGTAGTGATCGTGTTAATGGCGATGATGGTGGTAGTGGTGATGTTGTTGGTGATGGTATTGATCGTGTTAATGTCGATGATGGTGGTAGTGGTGATGTTGTTGGTGATGGTATTGATCGTGTTAATGTCGATGATGGTGGTAGTGGTGATGTTGTTGGTGATGGTATTAATCGTGTTAATGTCGATGATGGTGGTATTGGTGATGTTGTTGGTGATGGTATTGATCGTGTTAATGTCGATGATGGTGGTAGTGGTGATGTTGTTGGTGATGGTATTGATCGCGTTAATGTCGATGATGGTGGTAGTGGTGATGTTGTTGGTGATGGTATTGATCGTGTTAATGTCGATGATGGTGGTAGTGGTGATGTTGTTGGTGATGGTATTGATCGTGTTAATGTCGATGATGGTGGTAGTGGTGATGTTGTTGGTGATGGTATTGATCGTGTTAATGGCGATGATGGTGGTAGTGGTGATGTTGTTGGTGATGGTATTGATCGTGTTAATGTCGATGATGGTGGTAGTGGTGATGTTGTTGGTGATGGTATTGATCGTGTTAATGTCGATGATGGTGGTAGTGGTGATGTTGTTGGTGATGGTATTGATCGCGTTAATGTCGATGATGGTGATGTTGAAGCTGTTGGTGATGGTATTGATCGTGTTAATGTCGATGATGGTGGTAGTGGTGATGATGTTGGTGATGGTAGTGATCGTGTTAATGTCGATGATGGTGGTAGTGGTGATGTTGCTGGTGATGGTATTGATCGTGTTAATGTTGATGATGGTGGTAGTGGTGATGTTGTTGGTGATGGTATTGATCGTGTTAATGTCGATGATGGTGGTAGTGGTGATGTTGTTGGTGATGGTATTGATCGTGTTAATGTCGATGATGGTGGTAGTGGTGATGTTGTTGGTGATGGTATTGATCGTGTTAATGTCGATGATGGTGGTAGTGGTGATGTTGCTGGTGATGGTAGTGATCGTGTTAATGGCGATGATGGTGGTAGTGGTGATGTTGTTGGTGATGGTATTGATCGTGTTAATGTCGATGATGGTGGTAGTGGTGATGTTGTTGGTGATGGTATTGATCGTGTTAATGTCGATGATGGTGGTAGTGGTGATGTTGCTGGTGATGGTAGTGATCGTGTTAATGGCGATGATGGTGGTAGTGGTGATGTTGTTGGTGATGGTATTGATCGTGTTAATGTCGATGATGGTGGTAGTGGTGATGTTGTTGGTGATGGTATTGATCGTGTTAATGGCGATGATGGTGGTAGTGGTGATGTTGTTGGTGATGGTATTGATCGTGTTAATGTCGATGATGGTGGTAGTGGTGATGTTGTTGGTGATGGTAGTGATCGTGTTAATGTTGATGATGGTGGTAGTGGTGATGTTGTTGGTGATGGTATTGATCGTGTTAATGTCGATGATGGTGGTAGTGGTGATGTTGTTGGTGATGGTAGTGATCGTGTTAATGGCGATGATGGTGGTAGTGGTGATGTTGTTGGTGATGGTATTGATCGTGTTAATGTCGATGATGGTGGTAGTGGTGATGTTGTTGGTGATGGTATTGATCGTGTTAATGTCGATGATGGTGGTAGTGGTGATGTTGTTGGTGATGGTATTGATCGTGTTAATGTCGATGATGGTGGTAGTGGTGATGTTGTTGGTGATGGTATTGATCGTGTTAATGGCGATGATGGTGGTAGTGGTGATGTTGTTGGTGATGGTATTGATCGTGTTAATGTCGATGATGGTGGTAGTGGTGATGTTGTTGGTGATGGTAGTGATCGTGTTAATGTTGATGATGGTGGTAGTGGTGATGTTGTTGGTGATGGTATTGATCGTGTTAATGTCGATGATGGTGGTAGTGGTGATGTTGTTGGTGATGGTATTGATCGTGTTAATGGCGATGATGGTGGTAGTGGTGATGTTGCTGGTGGTGGTATTGATCGTGTTAATGTTGATGATGGTGGTAGTGGTGATGTTGTTGGTGGTGGTATTGATCGTGTTAATGTCGATGATGGTGGTAGTGGTGATGTTGTTGGTGATGGTATTGATCGTGTTAATGTCGATGATGGTGGTAGTGGTGATGTTGTTGGTGATGGTATTGATCGTGTTAATGTCGATGATGGTGGTAGTGGTGATGTTGTTGGTGATGGTATTGATCGTGTTAATGTTGATGGTGGTGGTAGTGGTGATGTTGTTGGTGATGGTATTGATCGTGTTAATGTCGATGATGGTGGTAGTGGTGATGTTGTTGGTGATGGTATTGATCGTGTTAATGTCGATGATGGTGGTAGTGGTGATGTTGTTGGTAATGGTATTGATCGTGTTAATGTCGATGATGGTGGTAGTGGTGATGTTGTTGGTGATGGTATTGATCGTGTTAATGTCGATGATGGTGGTAGTGGTGATGTTGTTGGTGATGGTATTGATCGTGTTAATGTCGATGATGGTGGTAGTGGTGATATTGTTGGTGATGGTATTGATCGTGTTAATGTCGATGATGGTGGTAGTGGTGATGTTGTTGGTGATGGTATTGATCGTGTTAATGTCGATGATGGTGGTAGTGGTGATGTTGTTGGTGATGGTATTGATCGTGTTAATGTTGATGGTGGTGGTAGTGGTGATGTTGTTGGTGATGGTATTGATCGTGTTAATGTCGATGATGGTGGTAGTGGTGATGTTGTTGGTGATGGTATTGATCGTGTTAATGTCGATGATGGTGGTAGTGGTGATGTTGTTGGTGATGGTATTGATCGTGTTAATGTCGATGATGGTGGTAGTGGTGATGTTGTTGGTGATGGTATTGATCGTTTTAATGTCGATGATGGTGGTAGTGGTGATGTTGTTGGTGATGGTATTGATCGTGTTAATGTCGATGATGGTGGTAGTGGTGATGTTGTTGGTGATGGTATTGATCGTGTTAATGTCGATGATGGTGGTAGTGGTGATGTTGTTGGTGATGGTATTGATCGTGTTAATGTCGATGATGGTGGTAGTGGAGATGTTGTTGGTGATGGTATTGATCGTGTTAATGTCGATGATGGTGGTAGTGGTGATGTTGCTGGTGGTGGCGGGGCACCTCCGATGCGGGCGTGGTACGCGATTCCCACAGTGCACTGCGAGTTGTTCGCCGTGGCCGCCACTTCTCCCGCGCAGCGCGTGCCGTGCCTGGGGAGGGCGGGGGGGGGTGACCCAGAATCGTGACCCCGTGACCCCGTTTTTTGACCCCGTGATGCGAACTCGTGACCTTTGTATCGTGATCCCGACAGGGACTGCCACCGCGAACCGTGACCCCGCGACCCCGTGACCCCTCACTTGTTCTCGTTGTTGGCGTCGTATCTCGGCATGGGGTCCCAGTCGTTGCCGTTGACGTCATAGCTCGCGGCGGGGTCCTGGGGGGGCGGGGGGGTCAGCACCGGGTAGTGACGGGGATGGCGATATTGGTGGTGATTATGATGATGGATTACACTGTGTAACAAAAACATTGTTGTCCCCGGGTACTAAGTGTTATTTCCTAATTGCTTGTGCCTCAAAAGTACAGAGAATGGCTATTATTTTATTATTATTCCTTACAAACTTTGCTTTTGTGACCAGAACAGTGATATTTTGAAATCGACCTAAAGTAATACAAACATGACTACAAAAGATGTAGACACCAAGGCGCACTACCAGAGGCGGGACTGGCCACAGCAGACAGACTTCTCTGTGGGGAGGAACAATCTCGAAAAAATACTCACGTCTAAATCTTTGACTTTAGTGTAAATACATGTTCATTTTGATTCATATGTTGTTGTTTTCTGACTTTATGTGAACGAAAAGACACAAATTCGCCCGTCTTCTCATCTAAATTATGTAAATTTTTATAAATATCACTGTCCTGGTCACAAAAGCAAAGTTTGTGGGGAATAATAATAAAATAATAGCCATTCTCTGTACTTTTGAGGCACAAGCAATTAAGAAATAACACTTACTACCCAGGAACAACAATTGTGTTACATAGTGTCATTCTTGATGGGAACGATGATGGTGGTGGTGACGGTGGTGGTCATGGTGGTGGTGGTGACAGTGGTGATGGTGATGACGGCACTGATCATGGTGGAAGTGACGGTGGTGGTCATGGTGGTGGTGATGGTGATGGTGGTGACGGTGGTGATGGTGGTGACGGTGGTGATGGTGGTGATAGTGGTGGTGATGGTGGTGACGGTGGTGATGGTGGTGGTGACGGTGGTGATGGTGGTGATGGTGGTGGTGACGGTGATGGTGGTGGTGATGGTGGTGGTGACGGTGGTGTTGGTGGTGGTGATGGTGGTGGTGACGGTGGTGGTGGTGATGGTGGTGGTGACGGTGGTGATGGTGGTGGTGACGGTGGTGGTGGTGACGGTGGTGATGGTGGTGATGGTGGTGGTGGTGACGGTGGTGATGGGAGTGGTGACGATGGTGATGGTGGTGACGGTGGTGGTGGGAGTGGTGACGATGGTGATGGTGGTGACGGTGGTGGTGGTGACGGTGGTGATGGTGGTGACGGTGGTGGTGGTGACGGTGGTGACGGTGGTGATGGTGGTGGTGATGGTGGTGGTGGTGACGGTGGTGACGGTGGTGATGGTGGTGATGGTGGTGGTGGTGACGGTGGTGATGGGAGTGGTGACGATGGTGATGGTGGTGACGGTGGTGGTGGTGACGGTGGTGATGGTGGTGACGGTGGTGGTGGTGACGGTGGTGACGGTGGTGATGGTGGTGGTGATGGTGGTGGTGACGGTGGTAACGGTGGTGGTGACAGTGGTGATGGTGGTGACGGTGGTGGTAACGGTGGTGGTGATGGTGGTGGTGGTGGTGGTGATGGTGGTGATGGTGGTGGTGACGGTGGTGATGGTGGTGATGGTGGTGGTGACGGTGGTGGTGATGGTGGTGGTGACGGTGATGGTGGTGGTGACGGTGGTGGTGATGGTGGTGGTGACGGTGGTGGTGACAGTGGTGATGGTGGTGACGGTGATGGTGACGGTGGTGGTGATGGTGGTGTCCCCGTCGCTCACGTAGTTCTGCTGAAGGTCCGGGTGGGTCCGCTCGATGCCATCGTCCAGGATGGTGATCACCACCCCCTTCCCCGTGAACCCGCGCCTCCACGCGCCCCCCACGCCCATGTCCGGCCGGCAGTGGGCAGCCCCCTCCTCGCAGTGCTACCCGCAACAAAGACAAAGATGCCTCCTATAGCTTGAACAGACTGTTAGCAAGCACCTATGAAGGCCGGAACGGTACACGGGGGGGGGGGGGGGGGGGGGGGGTGGTGGTCGGAAACACGCCCGGCCACCTTTGTCTCCCCAGAATCGATCCAAAGGGAGGCCCAGGACCGAACTCGGGTCAGTGAGTTCGTAGCGCTGTGCGCTAACTGTTGCGCCACCGCTCCCCACACACAAACACACCATCACCACGACAATCACCATGATCATCGTCATCACCACCATAACCATCATCATCACATGGGCGGCCGGGCGTTGGCAGCGCAGTGGTGACGATCGCGGACCACTACAAGAGGCCCCTGGGTTCAATTCTCGACCCAGGCGCCGCCTCTCCGTGTGCAGTGCACGTGTCCTCCCCCTGTCCCGCATGGGTTTCCTCCGGCTTCTCCGGTTTCCTCCTCACCCCGTAGCTAAACCCACAAACACCGTGGAACTGGCATCGGCCAAACCACGTCCCCAATCGCTGAACAAGCTCCTGCCAAGCACTCAATCGGGATCACGCAGCAGCAGGAGCAGCAACATCGCCCGCTAGTACCGTGAACAGTTGGCAGGACCCTCCTAAAGAGGAGTCTTGAGACTCGTTCAGACTCTCTGGGTAATGACAATCGCTTAACATTTGGACTGCGCTGTCCACCCTTCGCAGCTCTCGGCAGACCTCTCGCCCAGGGGAACCCCCGGCGGCAGCTGCCCCTGTGCAGCGCACAGCGTATGCAGCTCCAACAAGCGGCAACCGCGCCTCCTCTCAGCCCTGTACCTCACCTGTGTACCGCACCTGTATACCACACCTGTGTACCGCACCTATATACATCACCTGTGTACCTCACCTGTATACTGCACCTGTGTACCTCACCAGTTTACCACACCTGCATGCCTCACCTGTGTACCACACCTGTATACCTCACCTGTATACCACACCTGTATACCTCACCTGTGTACCACACCTGTATGCCTCACCCGCCCAACTCACCTGTGTACCACACCTGTATACCTCACCTGTGTACCACACCTGTGTACCACACCTGTGTACCACACCTGTATACCTCACCCGCCCAACTCACCATGTACCACACCTGTATACCACACCTGTGTACCACACCTGTATACCTCACCTATGTACCACACCTGTATACCTCACCTGTGTACTACACCTGTATACCACACCTGTGTGCCACACCTATGTACCTCACCCGCCCAACTCACCATGTACCACACCTGTATACCTCACCTGTGTACCTCACCTGTGTACCACACCTGTATGCCTCACCCGCCCAACTCACCATGTACCACACCTGTATACCTCACCTGTGTACTACACCTGTATACCACACCTGTGTGCCACACCTATGTACCTCACCCGCCCAACTCACCATGTACCACACCTGTATACCTCACCTGTGTACCACACCTGTGTACCACACCTGTATACCTCACCCGCCCAACTCACCATGTACCACATGTACGGCCACTTGGGGTCGTTGAAGGCCGTGGGGTCGCTGCCGGAGTCGAGGTCACGCTTCACGCGCCGCTTCACCGTCTGCTGCTGCATCCACTTCACCTGGTGGGGGGGGGGGGGCAGTGGTGGTGGTGTGAGGCGGCACAGACCCCCACCTCACCCCCACCCCCACACTCCACCACCACCTCCCTTCAGGCCCCCTCATCACAGCCCGACCTCACACATAACACCCCCCTCAGACCCCCAGACTCTCACCCCCACACCTCCACCCATCTCATACCCTCAGTTCCCCCTCGTCCACACCAACCCCTCACCCCCCACACCCCTCCCCTCTCCAACCCCTCACCCCACGCCCCCCTCCCCTCTATCCCCTCAACTCCTTGCCCTGACGCCTCACCCCCCTCACCTCACCCCCCTAACCTCACCCCCCACACCTCACTCACCACACCCTCCACACCTCACCCCCCACACCTCACTCACCACACCCTCCACACCTCACCTCACCCCCCACACCTCACCCCCACACCCCACCCTCCACACCTCACCCCCACACCCCCCACACCTCACCGCACCCCCCACACCTCACCCCCACACCCCCCACACCTCACCCCCACACCCCACCCCCCACACCCCCCTTACCTGGGGCTCTGCGCGCAGGAAGAGGTGGGGGCCGTGGGAGGGGAGGGCGGAGCGCCGCATCACGTGACCGCGGTGGAAGTGGTAGAAGCCGTCAAGGGATCCGATCTGAGGTGGAAGCACGGAGGAGGGGGGGGCACCCAGGTTAGCTCTGTCTCATACACACACCTGTGCCACACACCTGTGCCACACACGTGTCCCACACACACACACCTGTCCCCCACACACATATACCTGTCCTACACACACCTGTTTATACACCCCGCACCAGGTACTCAATTGAGGCTGAGTTGACCTAGGGGAGGCCCAGTACCGGTTCAGATAATTGCCACTGGAGTTGGGTTCGGAGCGCAGCGCGCTATCCGCTACACTACCACTCCCCAGACACCTGTTACACACACACTTGTCACACACACACCTGTCACACACACACACCTGTCCCACACACTTGTCCCACCCCCACAACCTGTCCCAAACACACACCTGTCCCACACACACACCTGTTACACACACACACCTGTCACACACACACACACCTGTTACACACACACACCTGTCCCGCACACACACCTGTTACACACACACACCTGTCCCACACACACCTGTCCCGCACACACACCTGTTACACACACACCTGTCACACACACACCTGTCCAACGCACACCTGTCCCACACAGATCTGTCACACACACACAACTGTCACACACCTGTCCCACACACACACCTGTCACACGCACACACACCTGTTACACACACACACCTGTCACACACACACACACACCTGTCACACACACACCTGTCACACACACACACCTGTCACACACCTGTCCCACACACACACCTGTCACACGCACACACACACCTGTCACACACACACACACACCTGTCACACACACACCTGTCACACACCTGTCCCACACACACCTGTCCCACACACACCTGTCACACACACACCTGTCCCACACACACACCTGTCACACACACACACCTGTCACACACACCTGTCACACACACCTGTCCCACACACACCTGTCCCACACACACCTGTCCAACGCACACCTGTCCCACACACACACACCTGTTACACACACACACCTGTCCCACATACACCTGTCCAACGCACACCTGTCCCACACACACCTATCCTACAGACACCTTTATCCCCATCTAAAGACAAAGGTCCCCCGTACAGCCCAAAAGTCTGTTGGGACACGTTCGGTTAGTCCGGCACGGCACACGGGACACCCCCCCCCCCCGTCCCCACTCACCTGCCCCAGGTTCACGAACCCGTGCTTATCCGCTAGTCGTTGCGCCTCAGCCGGGCCCCCCTCGATGCTCACGGCCCAGCGGTTCGTGTAGTGCTTGGGGGCGCGGGCCCCCCACGCGATTCCGAGCAGCAGCAGCGGCGCGAACAGGGGGAGCAGAGAGCGCATCCTGGCCAGGGGATGGGGGGCTCCCTGTCGGAGGGAGACGTGGGGGTTCCGGTAGGAGCGAGACAGGGGTCCCTGTAGGAGGGAGAGAGGGGTCCCTGTAGGATAGAGACGTGGGGGTTCCCTGTAGGAGCGAGACAGGGGTCCCTGTAGGAGGGAGAGAGGGGTCCCTGTAGGAGGGAGACGTGGGGGTTCCCTGTAGGAGCGAGACAGGGGTCCCTGTAGGAGGGAGAGAAGGGTCCTGTAGGAGCGAGGTTGACGGGTGGCCCTGTCAGAAGAAGGGGACCCTCTAAGAGGGAGACGGAGCAGAGGTTTATCGAGTCACGGAGTTTCACGAACGACCCCCCGATCGCTTTCGGGACCCCGTTTGGACCGCGGCAGCGCCTCTTCCTCTCCCCCTTTCTCCTCCTCCTCCTTCTTCCTCCTCCTCCTCCTTCTCCTCGTCTTCTTCTTCTGATCCTCGTCGTCGTCTCACCTGCTCCTCCACTCCTCCTCCTCCTCCTCGTGCATCTGCGCAGCGGAGTGAGAGCAGCGAGCGGAGCGAGGGCCAAGGGGGAGGGGGGGTGCTGGGTGCGTGTGGGGTGCCGTGGGGAGTGGTGGCGCGCTGATTAGCAGTTAGCTCACTGCACTATGAACCCTGTCGACTACTCGAGTTCAGTGACGAGTTATACATGAGCCGGTCACGAGCCTCCCCTAGGTCGATTCGACCTTAAATTAAATACCCGGTGCAGTGTGTAAACATCAGTACTGGGGATACAAAGGCGGCCGGGCGTGGTGGGCACATCAACTCCCTCGTGTGCCGCTAACAGCACTTGCCCCGACAGTCGGTTAAAGGTTATACGGGGCATCTTTGTCTTTCAGTGGTTAGGATGGATCGGAGTGTACGCGTGGTGAGTGGTGAGGATGGAGCGGGTGCTTTGTGATTTAAGTGAGTGGCATGTGGTATGTGGGTGTGTGTGTGTGCGTGGTATGTATGTGTGTTGCTGTGTCTGTGTTGTGTGTGTGTTGTGTGTGTTGTGTGTGTGGTGTGTGTGTTGTGTTTGTGCTGTGTGTGTGGTGTGTGTGTGCTGCGCGTGTGCTGTGTGTGTGTTGTGTGTGTTGTGTGTGTTGTGTTTGTGTTGTGTTTGTGTTGTGTGTGTGTGTTGTGTATGTGTGTTGTGTGTGGGTGTTGTGTGTGTGTTGTGTGTGTGTTGTATGTGTGTTGTGTGTGTGTTGTGTGTGTGTGTTGTGTTTGTTGTGTGTGTGTTGTGTGTGTGTGTGTTGTGTGTGTGTTGTGTTTGTGTTGTGTGTGTGTTGTGTGTGTTTTGTGTTTGTGTTGTGTTTGTGTTGTTGTGTTGATCTTTGTTTTTATCTTTGTTTTTTCGTATGTATGTGTGTTGCTGTGTCAGTGTGTGCGTGGTATGTATGTGTGTTGCTGTGTGTGTGTGTGCGTGGGGAGCTGGACCGGTACCGCCTGGATCTCTGTGGCATTCAGGAGGTCCGGTGGACCCGTTCTGGCTCCTGCCACCATGAGGGGTGGACAGTCCTCTTCTCGGGGCAGCAGACTGCCAAACAACAGGGTGTGGCTCTTCTTTTGAACAAAATAATGGCGTGGGAGCGTGGCGGTGAGGTGTGGGAAGCTGTAAGCCCCAGGCTACTTTGGGCTCGCCTTCCCATCAACCGGAGGCGAGGAGTGGTGGTCGTGGTTACTTATGCCCCCACCGAAGACGAACATCCGTGGAGGGATGCAGGCAAAGCCGATGAGTCAGATGCTTTCTATGACCTCCTGTCACAGGTGCTGGCCAAAGTGGCCCCTCGGGATAGTCATCTTGTTGGGTGACTTCAATGCCCGAGTTGGTCATGATGCTGGCACCTGGTTTGGAGTGATTGGAGGGCATGGGCCAGATCAGCTCAATAACAACGGTAGATTTTTGTACAGCCCATAAGCTTGTAATTACCAACACGATGTTCCGGCATCGGCGCATCCACACAACATCATGGATGCATGCCGGGTCCAAGCAAGAACATCTGCTGGACTACATAGTGACGGACCTGCGGGTGCGAGCCCATGTCCTTGACACCAAGACCTACCGTGGAGCTGATCTGCCCTCTGACCATCGACTAATCATCTGTGAGATGCGCAGTTATCTGATGAAAGTTGCAAGCGAGAAACATCATCGTTTGCGGCTGGGGTTGGCATCGTCCCACACTCCTCCTGATGTCGAGGGTAAATGGCCGAGGTTTAGGACTGTGACTCATGCAGCTGCAATGGCTGCTTTGGGTACGCGGTCCAGACCTCCCCAGAGACCCTGGCTGACAGAGGAGGTGTTCAGGATAGTTGAGAAAAAGCGACAGGCCCACTGTCATCGGCTACAGAATCCCACGTCAGAGAATGAGGAGGCTTACAGCAGCCTTCGCTCGGAGGTTCGGAGAGCCGTGAGGCACTGCAAGGATGGGTGGTGGTTGCAGGTTGCTGAGGAGATGAAGTCTGCCTCAGTGGTCCGCGATCACAAATCTCTATTTAACTCCATGAAAAAAGTAACCTGCAGCGCCACACCTATTACCATCATTAGGGGAAAAAACGGTGATCCAATCTCCGACCCCCAGGAACAGGTTTGCAGATTTGCTGACCATTTCTGTGAGGTCCTGGGGGAGGGGAAATCCCTCAGCCAGGGAAACATCGTGGTACAAAGTGGGGATGACCCTGCTGAGGCTGAGTGCCTCAAATATTAGAAGTCACCCCCTGTGAGTGGCTGGCTGAGGTGCCATCTGTTGAGGAAGTAATGAAAGCGATCCGGAGTCTGAGACCAGGAAAGGCACCGGGCAGAGATGATCTCCCAAGCGAAATTCTGAGGGAGGGTGGCGTTTGTGCACAGACTGCCCTATATGACATCGTAACAACAGTCTGGACCACTGGATGGGTTCCACAGGATTGGAAGGATGCCCTGGTGGTCCCCCTCTTTAAGAAGGGGGACCGCACAGACTTTAACAAGTACAGGGGCATCTCACTTCTCAGTGTGCCGGGAAAGGTCCTGGCAAGGATTATTCAACGTCGCCTTGCCAGGCACGCTGAGGAAAGGCTTGCGGAGCCCCAGTGCGGTTTCAGGAAAGGGCGGTCCTGCACAGATGCCATATTTTCCGTCCGTCTGCTACAGCAGAGGTGTAGGGAATTACATCTCTGCTTTATTGACCTGATCAAGGCCTATGATACCATCAGTAGGCCTGGGCTCTGGGTTGTTCTTCGTGCTTTTGGAGTCCCTGACCCTCTGCTCACGATCATTAAGGACCTTCATGATGGTGAGCGGGCCCGGGTAAAACTACGTGGCCGGGAGTCAGAGCCATTCCCTGTACACCTTGGGGTGCGACAGGGATGTCCTCTGGCTCCCACATTATTTAACATCTATTTTGACCACGTAGTTCGTGAAGCCTTCAATAGCTGTACCGGGGGAATCTCTATTTGGTACAGATATAATTGGGAGGCTGATCGATGCCTGGGTGCAATCAAGGGATGGCTCCCTATTGCTCAACCACGTTATGTATGCCGATGATTTGGTAATAGCTGCTAATTCAGAGGAGGAGTTGGAGACGCTGCTGCTGAGACTGGAGCGTGCCCCTAAGAGATGGGGACTTACCATCAGCCCACCAAAACTAAGCATCTGCCTGGGTATTTTGTACCATCGGACACTCCACCCCCACAACTCCAAATCGGTGATGGAGTAGTTGTGGAGAGAGTGAAGAGTTTCCCATACCTGGGCAGTGTTCTTATGACCGGCTCCAGTTTAACAGCAGAGGTCTCACTCCGAATCAGTCGAGCGGCAATATCTTTTCATCGGTTGCGTAACGCTGTGTGGAAGCTACCTGGTCTGTCGCTCTGCACTAAGCTTCAGGTCTTCTCGGTCTCGGTCATTCCCTCCATTCCCTACGCTTGCGAAACGTGGACCCCCCTAATGGAACATCTTCACCGGTTAGAAACATTTAGGCTAGCCTGCCTACGATCCATCCTGGGTTTAACCAGGCTGGATTGTGTGAGGAGCTCACAAATCCTTGAAAGATCTGGGCAAGGTCCCATCGGTGAGCTCCTCCGGCAGGCAAGGCTGCGTTGGCTGGGTCATGTAGCCCGCATGCCCAGCCACCACATGCCGAAATAGCTTTTTGTTCGGCCGGATGGAGGGGGCTAAACGGGCGCGGCACGGGCTAGAGAAGAGATGGAGTGATGTGGTACAGGAGGACGTGGAGCTGAGTGGACCTGCCGATGACTGGTACCAGCGGTGTCAAGATCGGCCTCTGTGGAGGAGGCTCGTGAAGGACGCTACTGGGCAGTTGGAGACAGTCGCCTTCCAACAACAACGGAGGGCGGAGGAGCGACGCTCACAACAACGACCGGAGCGCCGGGTGGCTAAAGCACAGCAGGTTGGCACAGTAGGGGGCACAGGTGGTGCATCAGCCAGTCATCTCAGTCAGTCGACCCATGGCACCTGGGTCTGCCCCGTGACCTCTTGCCAGCGGGCGTTCGACACTTCACGTGGCCTCAAGGTGCACATGGCCTGGCACAAGCGTCGTGGTGACGTCACCGCTACTTAGTGGCGAATGGTGGTGGTTGTTGTTGTGGTATATATGTATGTTGCTGTGTCTGTGTGTGTGCGTGGTATGTATGCGTGTTGCTGTGTCTGTGTGTGTGCGTGGTATGTATGTGTGTTGCTGTGTCTGTGTGTTGTGGTAGCGCTGTAGGTGGTCTACCCCCCCCCCCCCCCACTGGGCCCCCTCATATCCCCCGCCCCCCGCTGCACGTGTGTAGGCAGGAGTACATGGTCCGGGGCCAGCACTGGGGCGTGTGTGTGTGTCAGTCTGTGTGTGTGTCAGTCTGTGTGTCAGTCTGTGTGTGTGTCAGTCTGTGTGTCAGTCTGTGTGTGTGTCAGTCTGTGTGTCAGTCCGTGTGTGTGTCTCAGTCTGTGTGTCTGTCAGTCCGTGTGTGTGTGTCAGTCTGTGTGTCAGTTTGTGTGTGTGTCAGTCTGTGTGTGTGTCAGTCCGTGTGTGTGTCTCAGTCTGTGTGTGTGTCAGTCTGTGTGTGTGTCAGTTTGTGCGTGTGTCAGTCTGTGTGTGTGTCAGTCCGTGTGTGTGTCTCAGTCTGTGTGTCAGTCTGTGTGTGTGTCAGTCTGTGTGTGTGTCGACTCAGCCTCAAATGAGTACCTGGTGCGTGTGTAAACATTGCCACTAGGGAGACAAAGGCGGTCGGGCGTGGTGCTGGCCACCCACCCCCTCGTGTACCGTTCCGGCCTTCATAGGTGCTCGCTAACAGCACTTGCCCCTACAGTCTGTTAAGGCTATACGGGGGATCTTTGTCTTTGTCTCAGTCTGTGTGTGTCAGTCCGTGTGTGCGAGTGGTAGTGTAGCGGTTAGCGCGCTGCGCTGCGCTGCCAACCCGGCTACCCGAGTTCAATTCCCGCTCATGGCCAACACCATCAATAACGATTATCTGAATCGGTTCTGGACCTCCCCTAGGTCGACTCAGCCTCAAATGAGTACCTCGTGCGGTGTGTAAACATCGCCACTGGGGAGACAAAGGCGGTCGAGCGTGATACTGGCCACCCACCTCCTCGTGTGCCTTGCCGCTAATTATAGGTGTTCGCTAATAGCGCTCGCCCTAACAGGCGGCTCAAGGCTATACGGGGGGGTCTTTGTCTTTGCGTGTCAGCATGGTGCCCGCTGACAGCAAT